TAAATATTATATTTGTCTATTTTTATATTTTTGACTTAATTCCCTCACAAAAGGATAAATATGTCTACATAAAAACAAGTGATAACAATAAATGCTTACATTGCTCAAATCTAGTTAGAACACTGCATAGAATTCCGGCTCAAATTACTGGTAAAAAGCAACGGCTCTCTGGGTACCGGTACTTCCTACCGTCAAATCTATTTTTACCGAAATAAACATACTACTGAACAAAAAATCAGACATACCGTAATTTTTTCAGTATTGATAACCGTAAAATCATTGAATTACTCAAATTAAATAAATATTACGGTAAGAATAAAGATATAATATTTTTTCGGTAAAATGGATTTTACGAATGATATATCCAAAGTGCCGGTACTTTTTACCGTAATTTGTTTCTGAATTTTTTTTGCAGTGTATTGAAGCAAAGTTCTAAAGCCATTTTTTTTATCAGTTGAAGAATATTCAATAGATTGTTGCTCATAAGCATGGCATCAATGTAAGTATAGCATATCATTCTCTCATTTAATATAAAATTATTTTAAAAAGTCAAATTTGTTTTTTTTTCATGTTTTACATTAATTAAAATGTATATCCTCAAATATTAAATGCTCCTGAATGTTACTAAATTTGGAGATTTTCAAATTAAATGATTTTATCATTCATTTATCATTCAGAATATATATTCATATATCAGAAATTTATCATTCTCTCTCAATCATTCCCTTACTTTACTAATTATTAAAAAAATTATTGTTCTAAAAATCCTCAGATTAAATATGGTTTATAACATATTTTATTACATGTTGTTTAGATGTCCCTGAAGATAAAATTTTGAAAAATTTAAAAATAAATTTATTCCAACCTCCCTTCTTTTTAAAGAATCATTTTTCGAAAAATAACACATATATCTATACATACTTTTGCATCTATTTTAATATATTTTTTACCCATCGAAATTTCATTTACATTTTATGTAGTATTAATTTTCAGCAATGAAATTGTTTACAAAATATCTAGCTGTCGTAATCGAGAAATTAATAAAATAATCATACCCATGAAAAAAAAGAGGTACAAAGAAGAAGTTACTGATAAATAACTTCTTTTTCGTACCTCTTTTTTTTCATGGGTATGATAATTTGGGTATGATGCCTGAGTTGTTGCATTTCTCACTAAAGAAAAATATTTGTGCTCGATAAAGTACAATTTTTATATTATTCTAATAATGAAAAAAAATCTTTTTCTTTAGTGAGAAATAGAACAACTCAGGCAGATCTGATGGATCGGAAAAATTCTACAAGGTTTTTTTAAAAAAACCTGAGTCATACAATCCGCCCAAACCATTTTTTATACGGCAAAAAGGCTCCATCCCCTGTTCGCTCCGCTCATCGAATCATATAATTGTTTTTCATTCATCATTGTTTTTGTTTTTTTTCTTAAACGTCAATTTTTTACACACAAAAACCCAGAACAGTTTGCTTTCAAAATATACAATTATTGTAGCTTTATGTCAAAACATTTTGTTAATATGTTAATTGTAGCGAAATAGATAATTATTTAGATATGAAAAATAAACATATATACTAACCCAATCTGTACTTAACATTGTACTTAGCACATTTGTACTTAGCATAAGCAATGCAGATTGTGGGACTTTAATGAGAAGAAATAAACGAAAAGTAATTTTACTCGTGGATGAGACTTATAACACATGTGAGACTTATAATATTATGAGACTTATAACTTTAAGGGATAGTATCAAGCATCACTCTTAACTAATATTTTTTTTTTGAAAATTTAACTCTAAAATTTATTTAACGATAAAAATTTCACTATATATGCCAAAATTTATTTCTGGCAATATGTAATCTCTTTCTCATTCTGTTACTCTCTCCCCCTGCTTTTCATTGACATCTTCTCGAGTTTAGAAACTAAAGATATAAAGATTTCGTGAGTGAAATTTAAATTTTCTACACCAGTGAATATATGGTGAAAAAATAAAAACCGTTGAAAAAGCTCTTAAAACTACACTAATTTTAAAAGAGATTGGAGTTTTGAAACAAAATTCGCATTAAGTTCACAGACAAAAAATGGCTTTGAAGCTCGTCACATTTAAACTCCGTAGTTGCATTTCAGCGGGCTACAGATTGATCATACTTGGTATTTTATTCCTAAATTTTTATACTGCTGCTCTCCTTGTACTTTTTTCTGTGCACTTCCGCCCTTTCAAGTCTCTACGTCATATAGTTTTTGCGCAGTAAAGCAAAATTTAACGTCCCCCAGAACAAAGGTAGCTGGTTTGGAGACCTTTATGATTTTTTAATCTAACGAAAAACGGGAAACAAAGGAAAAAACACCAGTACTTATGTTATGAAATTTTCTGAAAAGAAAAATAAATTCAGTTATTCAATAAAGTTTTCTTATAGATTAATTAGTTTTGTTTTTAAATCAATTTATCTTTCATAATTCTAAATTCGGCAGTTAAACAATAATTACATGAAAAGATAACTGGACTTTTATTTTCCTTTTCTGTTCAATGAAGAAAACACATAAGAAAACAATAAAGAAATCTTATATAAATACCAAAGATAATCTTGATTTTTCTTATACATTCTTCATTTCTAGTCCATTCATTTTCCATTTTTTTATGCTATGATATTAAACATCAGCAACAGCTGCAACATTTTTATTAGATCTTTTAAGTTGAGAAACGAAATATTTAAACTTTATAAAATAGTATTGCTATGAATTTCCACAATACATTGCATTGATTTTTAGCTAAAAGCAACAACGAAAAACCACAATGGAAAAAAAATATTTCAATAACTTAAGTTTTGTAATTAGTTTGCATAAATCTCACTTGATAGAAGTTTTTCACAGAAGTTTCAGAAATATGAATTTATAATAACAAGAATTTTAACTTTATGATAAGCAAATATAATAAAACTTTCGAATGTTATCTTTTACAAGATAAGTTTAGAAGGTTAACAGACCAAAATTTATTAACAAAGTCAAGATTTTGCAATTTTAAACTTGGTCAATTTAAAACGATGAAAAATTTAATAAAATAAAAATTTGTTAGGAATATTGTTTTGGTGTACTTTAAAATATGAAACTTTTTAAATTTAAAACCATGAAAGATTAGAAATTATTTGATTTAAAACCATTCAAGTTGCAGTAAATATTACAATTTATTTAATTTAAATTCATATTTTAAATTTCATCTATAAAAATGTATTATATACAATACCATTACAAATGTCGACTTTTAATTATAAAATTTTTTTCAGAATATAATATCATTTAATGGTCGATAAATATTTTATTTCCCAAATATTATCTTTATTTTTATAAATCTTATATTTAAGATAATCAAGGAAAAAATTAGCCTTTTTTAAACATCAATAATTCTACATTTTAGAAAAAAAGAAGGTAAATTTAAAAGTAATGCACGATTTAAAAAATTTAGGTAAATAATAGAACACTGGTAATTATAAAAATGTAGGGAATAATTGGTATCATGCAGCATTATTGATCAAATTACGACTATGAAACACATATCATAAAATTAAATGCTTACTGATGTTTATATTTGAATGAAATGAATATAAATCTTTATAAAATCAAGCACGCACAGTGTAAAAAATTCCGGATAAACTTAGGGCAATACATTTGACGGAACAAAAAATCTGATGTGCCATAATTTTTAAGTTAATAATTATTATAAATCACAATTAATTAAACTTTAAATAAACTTAGTAATTAAATAAACTTTACTGTGAAAATTACTGTGAAAAATTTTACGGTAAATTAATCTTATTGTAAAATGGGTTTTATGGATGATGCATCAAAGGTGCTAGTACTTTTTTATTGTAATTTGATCTGGAAATTTTTACATTGTGGTATTTTCTTATTTTACTGCATAACTCTAAGAGAAAAGCGGGAGTGGAAAAATCATCCAATCAAAAATGTTCTCCATCTATGTAAAATACATCAATTATAAGCTATTTTTGGAAATTTATTAACTGGCCTAGAGGTTATTTAATTATTACGTTGAAACTAACCAACTCATTGCAATATTTTAACGTTCAATATTAGTAAAACATCCTGAATTAATCAACCTAAAAATATATACTTATCTCTAATACATTTACAAATAATTGAATATCTACTTTGATCGAAGTACACATATTGACTTTTGTTTGCAATATTTTTTTCAATAAACAATTTTATTTATTGAAGTTTCTTTTTCCCACGGTTAAAAGATTGCATTTCTATAAATTTAAAAAAAATTAAAATAAGTAAATAGTAAGTATAAAAACCATAGATTCTTTAATTAGGAAAAAACACATCTAAAATATAATGCATGATATAAAATATGAAGCATTGTTAAAGTAATCCATTATTAAATTCAAAAAATTCTTTTTTCCAAGTTTGAAAGATTACATTTTTATAAATTTAAAAAAAATTAAAATAAGTAAATAGTAAATATAAAAACCCTAGATTCTTCAATTAGGAAGAGAAAAAAAATCATTTAAAATATAATGCATGAAATAAAATATGAAGCATAGTAAAAGTAATCCATTATTAATTTCAAAAATTTAGAAATAACTTTGCATTGTGCGATACTATTATTTCAACAGATTCGATCAAAGGAATTTATTTTTAGAATTAAATGTTTTTACTGTCGTTTTCATTTATAAATTGGAGATAAAAACGAAACCGTCAAATCGAGAGGTATTTGTAATTCCCATGCGAGAAAAACAAGAGTGAAAAATCAAGAAGAAAAAAAACAAACAAGGCGCTCATCTCTGTCCGCGGGCCGTGCAGAGATCACCTATGAGTAAACAGGGTGGGTCTCAGAAAATTGGGTGGTGAAGTGGGAGGGGGGAGGGCTCCGAAGAGAAGGTTTGCTGTATAAATGTAGCCAGATTTGGCGAGCGATTTCCCCGCGCAAATGGAACCCTTTGTTCATGGCAACCCTTAGATCCACAGCAGCGTGCTCTCCGCTCCGATCGTCGTAGGTGTAGTGTGTCAAAGAGGCCAAGTGGTAGAGGGGGTTTTAGATCGAGCAGATTCACCCTTCTTAGTTTAGTTAGGCCGTAGTTTTTTCGGGACAAAAAACACCAACCACAACACAAGTGTCCGAACTGTAGTGGAAAAAGTGTGTGTGTCTCTGAACGCGTTTATTATATACAATTAACAAAAAAATAATAACAATTACAAATCATAAAGAAAAGAAAAAATTAAAAAAACAGCGCTTTTTGCTCGATCTGTTTGTTGTTATATTATAAATCTATTTCCAAGTATATATATTTACAAAGATATATATATTTAATTATATACATATACACAGTATATATTAACAATTTGCCGGCTATAATTATTACAAGAATAGTGGATCTTAATGATGGAGAATGATGCTCACCAAAATTGTTCCGGTGGCCAAGGCCAGAACGATGCAGCCCACGACCCGGGGTACGTAAATATTGAACTAATTATTTCAGTTTTTTGTGTTATGTGTTTTTAAAATCCCATTTTTAATATTATCTTGACTTGATGTAAACTTTACGTGTTTCCCTTAATGTTGCTGCTCCTCCTTTTCCCCAACAGGAAACGTATACGGCGCGTTTAATTTTGGTAATTCTTTTTGAGTTTTTTTTTTCAAAGATATTTTTTTTCTTTTATTCTTGCTCCCTCATCCCTCCTGCCCCTACCTGTGTGTGAGCGCACCTTTGTCAGCTTGTTGTTAACGTTGTTAGATAACACCGGCGTGATACCGGTATATTCAGCTCCATGTATTGCGCCATTCACAAAACGACGCATGTTTTTTTTTTTTTAATTTTATTTATTTTGCACCGCACATTATTTATCTTTGTGAAATATTATTTGGAAATCTCATATTCTTCTACACTCATTAATCTTTGAAAATAATGTATTTCAAGATAGGAAATAATTAACGTTTAAAAAATCCGTGTTTTGATCAACGCTAGTTATGGATCAAATAAAATAATGAGTGTTAAATATGTATACTCTTAACTTATTATGGCGTATAGTTTTCCAAGAGAGAAAATTTTTTAAATAATAATAATTTTTTTCAATTTTAACAAAATAGTTTTCGTCTGCTTTGCAAAATTTCTCCTCTACTTTGCAAAATTTCTCGTCTGCTCCTTAGTTACAAATGATGCAGTTGCACTCTGATGTAAATAGTTTCATTATCACTAAAAATTCCATAAAAGCAAACACCAATAAGTATAAAAACGTCATAGCTGTCATTTATTATTATGTGTTTAACATCTACGGAACGTTTTTTTTTTTTTTTTTCTTTGTTAATAAGAAAGATTTACCTATAAGAATATGGTGATTTATTTGGAAATCTCATATTCATCATCACTCATTAATCTTCAAAAATAATGTATTTCAAGATAGGAAATAATTATCGTTTAAAAAAATCCATCCTTTGATCAACGTTAGTTATTGATCAAATAAAATAATGAGTTTCAAATATGTATATTCTGACGTATTATGGTGTATAGTTTTCCAAGAAAGACAATTTTTTTAATAATAATTTTTTTTTTCAATTTTTACAAAATAGTTTTCGTCTGCTTTGAAAAATTTCTCGTCTGCTCTTTAGTTACAAATGATGCAGTTTCACACTGATGTAAAAAGCTTCATTATCACTAAAAATTCCACAAAAACAAACGAATAAATTAAAAAACGGCATTGCTTTCATTTATTATTTTGTGTTTAACATCTACGAAACGTTTTTTGTGTTAATAAGAAAGATTTACCTATAAGAATGTGGTAATTTCATTTGTTGAGAGAATTTGACAACGTACATTGATAACAATACACCTAAATTCACTTTTTCTGTGAGTAATTGTCATTTGCTTTGAGTGAGGAGTTGATGGAGTTTTTCTTTTACCACGTAATTGAACAGATTTGCACGTTAAAACAATCAAAGTTGTAAAATAATACTATTTCTTATAATTTTTTTATCTGTGTTTATTTAGACTTTAATTATAATAATCGATAACAAGTACGTTTACGTCAGTAAAATACACAAATGAATCTTATAGACTTTAATTTTGGTATCCAATTTTTTACGAGTGTCTTCAGAAAAAAATGGAGATCCAATGTTTAAAATTCCCATTTCTGAAAGCAAAATACACAAATACTTATAGATTTTAGCTATAATATTCAAATTTTTGTGAGAAAAATAGAAATTCCAATTAAATCAAATATTTAAAAATTCCTATTACTTAATCTAAAATACTTTATAAAATAAATCTTAAATACCTTAACTATATTATTCAACTTTTTGTAAATAGTTTCAGGAAAATCCGATTACATTAATGTTTAAAAATCCAATTACTTCAGTAAAATACACATATAAATCTTATATTCTGCAATATTATGTTAAATAAATAATCGAAATGCGGTATAACGTATGTAAAAAGTGAAGTAAACAGGAATTTAAATAAATGTTTTACTTAACTGAATATTAATAACTGGAAATATACCTTTTCTGGGTATCTTAAAAATATTTTAATTTAATTAAAGGTATGTTACATAACACAGAATCTTGTATTACAATAGCGTAGATTGCGTTGTCTTTTCTTATTTTCTACTACGATACATTTTTAAGCAATAAAAACGCACATTGGATTTTAGTTACTTTGTTAGGAACATCATTTTTTTTATAGATAATTTGTAGTTAATTTGTTTGATAGATAATTTGTTTGTTAGATAAGATAATTTGTTTGTTAGAAACATCATTTTTGTATCTCCATTATCTGCTAAAATATACATTTTATTTTAATCACTATAACTCCATGCCATTACTTAAAATGCAACTTTACCGGAATTTTTCTGAGCTGGAATTTTCAACGCAATGAAGAAATATTCCTGCTTTTGCGAAGTCTTTTATTACACTAAAACTTAATTAAAAATTATGTTTAATTTATAATTAAAAACGTCGAAATATTAAAATATATTTTAAGTTTATTGTTCTTAGTTGACGCATCTTACTAATAAATCTAACGTAGTTTGCGGCGCTTTATTCATTTCTTTTCTACTACAATATCTTTACGCAGTTACATAGGTTTTAAATAACACTTTTTTTAAAAAATAATTTATTTTTTATTATTATTATTATTTTCTGTTCTATAATGCTCATTTTTTAATTTCTTATTATTATTTCTAATCCCAATTTCACTGCCCAAAAATTTTCAACGCACTAAAGAAAAGTTCTCGCTTTTGCGATTTTTTTTATTTCACTAAAACTTAAATATAAAATAATGTTTAATTTATAGTTAATAAAGAAGAAACTGAGAATATGAAAAAATATTTTAATTTAATTGACGTTAGCTGACGTACGTTACTAATAAATCTGACGTAGTTAGCAGCGTTTTTGTTCTTCTTTTCTAGTACAATACCTTTTCTTGTTAAACTTTAGTCTTAATTAACATTTTTTTTAAACTAATTTTATTATTATTACTTTCTGTTCTAACATAAGCATTTTTTACAATCTAATTCTCATTTACACTCTTTTTCTAATTGCAATTTTTCTGCAAGGAAATTTCAAATGCACTGAAGAAGTGCTCTTGCTCTTACAATTTTTTTATTGCTCTAAAACTTAAATAAAAAATTATGTTTAATTTATAATAATTAACACAGAAACTAAGAAACTTAATTTTTTTTCAAAATTTAATTGACGTTATCTGATGCTCCTTACTACTAAATCTAACGCAGTTTGCGGCGCATTTTTTGCTTATTTCCTAGTACAATATATTTTTAACACTGCTTAACACTGTTTTTAAATAACATTTTTTTAATTAATATTTTTATATTATTATTTTCAGTGTAAATATACCCATTTTTTCAATCAGATTATTATTTATACTATATTTCTAATTGCAATTTTTCTGCTCCAAACTCTTCAACGCACTGAAGAAGAAATTTTTTATTACACTAACACTTAAGTAAAAATTATATATAATTTAATATAATTAACTTAAAAACTTAAAAATATTTTAATTTAGTTGATGTTAGCTGACGAGCCTCGCTAATAAATTTACCGTAATTTGTGACTTATTTTTTTCTTCTTTTATCTCAAACAATACCTTTTTTACACAGCTTTACACTGGTTTTAAATAGCATATGTTCTAAATTATTATATTTTATCATTATTATTTTCAGTTTAAATATACCCATTTTTTTCAATCAGATTATTATTTACACTTTATTTCTAATCGCAATTTTTCTTCTCCAAACTTTTCAACACTCTGTAGAAGAGCTCTTTCGTTTGCAATTTTTTTATCACTCTAAAACTTAAATAAAAATTATATATAATTTAATATAATTAACTTAGAAACTTAAAAATATTTTAATTTAGTTGACGTTAACTGACTTGCCTCACTAATAAATCTAACGTAGTTTGCGACGTATTTTTTTCTTCTTTTCTCGTACAATACCTTTTTTACACAGCTCTACACTTTGTTCGACTTTTTTACACAGCTTTACACTGGTTTTAAATAGCATATGTTCTAAATTAATATTATTATTATTATTATTTTCAGTTTAAATATGCTCATTTTTTTTCAATCAGATTATTATTTACACTTTATTTCTAATCGCAATTTTTCTGCGTCGAAATTTTGGAACACAACTGAAGAATTGTTCTTGACGTTGCACAATCTCTTATCAAATTCCTCCTCACATGAATAATTTTATTTAAGCGTTATCCGATACTTCTACCGCATTTTCGATTGTATGGAAATTTTCCAGCAAAATTTACGCGCAAAAATGTCCAACAGGACATTTCCCATCGTCTATTGTAATTCGTCATATAAAATAAGTAGCTGTAAGTGATATAAAAGCATCGTTACGTTGCTTTTTTGTTCGACAAATGTCTAAATTATGAAAAATAATTCAAGATTTAGGCTTATTTTTGGTCAAGGAAATCGACACTTAAGATTTAACAAAGAGACACACACAAATACACGAAAACAAGATTCATTAACCAAAATTAAATACGATTTTTAATTTGTATTTCGCTAAGATCTAACACTCCTATTAATAAAATTAAAGATGGATAATTTGTAATTCAAATTGCCTTCTTCTTAGCGTATGATAATATTATACTTAAATGAAATAAATACCTTAATTTCGTTAGGTAACAAAATATAATTTTGAAAATAAAGCTTAAGTCTGAATTAATAAGTTTTTTGGTGAATGATGATATTGAATAATTCGAATAGATATCCATGTTATTGCAAGTGCTTTTGAAATTAATACCTTTCTTAATTATTTCAAATTTCATGAAATATTTTTAAAACATAAATCTCCGAATGATAAAAAAAATATTTACTTCTTCTGTTTTTTATAATTTGTGACACCAAATATTTATGTAAGGCGTTTTTTTTAAATAATTAGCAACAACAACTTTAATAATGTTTGCTTTCTTAGTTATTTTA